GCTCCCGGCGGCAGGAGCCAGCTCCTTGTGGGTGTGGAGGGGCTGGAAAGCTGCTGGAAGCACTCACCTGACTCTCCCTGGCTCTGTTGCAGAAGGGCAAGAGGACACCATCCTGTCATACGAGCCAGTAACACGGCAAGAAAGTAAGTTCTGCTGCTGAGCTGCCCTGTGCTTGCTCTAATATGGGCACCTGTGTCCCAAGCACAGCTAGGGTGACTGGTGCAGCTTCCTTCCCTCTGCCATACCAGCATGATGCCAGGTGAACACAAGTGGAGTTTTTTATCTGTTGTGTGCAGCAGGGGAGCCAGGCATGGACACCACCTCGTGGGGTTTTCTCCAGCCCTGATCGCCCCTTTTTAATCAACAGAAAAGATTTGTGACCTGGTCTGCAAGACGAAGGGGGACAGATCTAGAGCTAAAACCAAGCTGGGCTTTAGGTCCCAGCTGAGGACAGGATTATCAGGAGGTCCCCGCTGTAGAGCAAACTCCCCAGCCCTCAGTATTAACCCTGCTCAATGTTCAATCCCTGCAGACCCTTTGGCAGTCTAAATAGTCAGAGCCTTGGTGGCCTCTCCTTGCCAGAAGCTGGATCAGACTCATAGGTTCAAATCACTCCCCCAGCTGTGTGGTATCAGAGCTGTGCCGGTTGTCTTGCTCCTGCCCTGAGTGAGTAGCTTCCTTCAGGCTCTGCAGATGATTTGGGTTGGATGGGAAGGAGGTGTTGACTGTGACCAGGAGATGATAAACTTGCATGGAGAAGGCACCTTTGGATGCCCATTTGAGCAGGAGCACCCATTGCCAGCAGGGAGAGGGGCACATTGAGGCCAGAAGCTGCAGTAGGGTGAGCTGCCTGCAACACAGACTGGGCCTCATGTTATGGCTCTCGTTTGCAGTTCACTATGCGAGGCCAGTGATCATCCTGGGGCCAACAAAGGACCGAATTAACGATGACCTCATCTCTGAATTTCCACACAAGTTTGGTTCCTGTGTGCCCCGTAAGTCCCAGCTGGTGCTTGTTACCCTTGCTGAAGGAATGGGAGAGTGGCAACTCTGCTACTTGCAGGGTCTAGCCCATGGCATGGGGAGGAGACTGGGAGCATGAATGGGTTTTCTCCCTGAAGGTTTGGCATGTGTTGCTCTGGATTTGCTCATGATGCCCACTTTTCTCCAGACACTACCAGGCCTCGGCGTGAGAACGAGGTGGATGGACAAGACTACCACTTCGTCGTATCCCGTGAACAAATGGAGAAAGACATCCAGGACAACAAGTTCATAGAGGCTGGGCAGTTCAATGACAATCTCTATGGGACCAGCATTCAGTCAGTGCGGGCAGTGGCAGAGAGCATTCCTGGGACTGGGACATATCCAGCCCAAACCCAGACACGTTTGGCAGTTCATTTCCTCTCTCTGTGTTGTTAACAAAGAGCTGTAACCACATTAAGCAAGCATGGCTCCAGTCTCTCCTCCCTCTGCAGTTCTGCCAAGCTATGTGGCTGCTTTTCTTAGCCACGTTCCTCCACCTCAATGCACCTCTGTCATCCAAACTCTGCCCGAAAGCCTGGCACTGGTGGCACAAACCTTATGCTTGGGAACTTGCAGTGCAGAGATGCCTAGCTGCCCACCTTGAAGCAGTGGCATTTCCTCTGCAGGAGTACTGGAGTATATCAGTGGGCATGTAAATTGTTTCATGTATTCAGAGAAAGATTCAGTCCCTTTGCAGTGCTTCTGTCCTGCCTGAAGTAGGCGGGAATGTAAGGCCACTGAGTATTTGCTTGCATCTCAGGACTGATGTTTCATCTCTGTGGCTCCTCTCTTTTGTAAGGACATCTGTATGAACAAGCTGTTTTCTGCATGAAGTAGACTGTGTGGGTAGATCTGATTCCGATCGTCTCCTTTATAGGGGAAACACTGCATCCTGGATGTGTCTGGCAATGCTATCAAGAGGTTGCAACAAGCACAACTTTATCCCATTGCCATTTTCATCAAACCAAAATCCATTGAAGCTCTCATGTAAGTGCCTTTCCAGGGCAAGCAGCTCTGGCATGTTGACTGTTTGTGGGTCTGCTGCCTCTGCTTTGTAGAAAGCAGCAGAGGTTGCTGCAAGTACTGAATTTGTCTCTTTTTAAGAGGAGCTGGACCCATTGCTGCCTCTGGTGTCCCTCCACATTTAATGCTATGGTGCATCCAGGCTTCATGGATTGCTATGGCTTAAAGCCCTTCATTCATCTCAGAGGATTAGCCGTGGGAAACCTAAAAATGCTCCCAAATGTGTCTGATATAACCTGCTCACCTGGGCCGCGAGTCCAAACAGATTTGCTGCTTGACAGCCTGTAGTGGTGGATCACAGCTGAGCCAGGACAGCCATGGGGAGCAAGGAGAGGACATTTCCTATGTGCCTTAAGGGTGACATTCTGTTTGTCCTGCTGCTTCTGGCCCTGGGGAGCACAGGCTGGAAAGGACTTAAGAGCTACAAACTCTTCTGAGCAGCAGCAGAGAATATTACCTGTGAGGAGATTCAGTAGCTAGAGATGGACTCTTCAAATCGGAAGAAACTCTGCTGGCACTGAGGGGACTGGGAAAACCCCTTCTCAAGCCAGGAGGAGTCAGATTACTTATTTGGGTGTTGTATGAAGATGAGGAAACCTAGGTAAGGAGGGTGGTGACAGGCTCTGGAAAAGGAGGGAGACTTCTGCAGTGGTCTTGCAAATTCAGAGAACTGTCTGGGCTTGAATCCTCTTCTGTGCTATGGTGAAATGGGAGTAAGGAGGATGATGGGAAAAACAGTTGGTAGTTGAGATTAAGTGCTAAGGCAGCAAAGAGCATGTGGGCAAGGGTCCTGCCTTTGAAAGCCGCATCCTGCACAGCTTTCATTCCTGGTGTGCCAAGGCTTCCAGGCACCCTGGCTCCATGAGTTATTTTTGCTCCTGTTTATAACTAAGAAGAAGAGCTAAGTTACTAAATTTTGTACATGGCAGGGAGATGAACCGGAGACAGACGTACGAACAGGCCAACAAGGTCTTTGACAAAGCCATGAAACTTGAGCAAGAATTTGGAGAGTATTTTACAGGTGAGTGTCCTGAGTAGGCATGTATCTGATTTATTTTATTTTTCTATCTGCAACCGTGACTTCTCTACCAACACTGTCATATCATAGGGTCATGGGAGAATGTCTGACTTCATCAAAGTGAAAAAGAAATGGCACTTTGCTAGCAGGGCTCTGCAAAGGGACTGCTCCAAGATCAGTGGGTAAGAGTAAGCCAGTTCTAGCTCTAAGGAAGGAGACAAGTTGTCAGGCAGGTTTTTGCAAGTTTGTGAAAGCTTATCGCCAACTTTAATAAAAAAAAGGAAAAATCTCCAGGCAGAGGAAGCACAGCATAGATTCAGGATGCTAGAAGGCTACAGGACATGCAACTCCCTGCTCAGAGAAAGGGGAGTGTTTTAAAAGAGAAGACAGTAATTTTGAAGAGGCAAGAAAAAATTAGTGACCTAAATGGTGGAGACTGTCCTGAGTTATTGCAAAACATCTTCCAAAAAAAGACTGGAAATTTGGCTTGCTTTCTAAGTAGTCTTTGCTGAAGAGCGAGTCAGGGGCTGCCTTGCATTTTGTGCCTGCAGAGATGAGCTGCTCATGCATGCTTGTGTGTTAAGGAACTAACATTTGTAACATTATTAATTCTGGAAAATTATGAGCAGGCGAAGAGGCAGAGAAACTGGTCTTCCATCTTTCCTCTAGTGCAGTGATAATCCTGCCAAACCCTGTATTACCCACCTAACAGATACTGGGAGAAATCCCAAGCAGAACATTTTCCAAAAATAGAGCTCAGCTGAGCAAATGTATGGACACAAACAGGGTAAAAGCTTTCCCCAGACTTCCTGTCCCAGGCAGCAGTTCCAGAGCTGCCAGCTGCTCTTCCATGAAGAGCGCAAAGGAAGTGTGTGCCATGGTCTTGTCAGACCCTCAGCATGCCATCATGTGCTTGGACAGTGAGTTTGAAGTTGACCTGGGAGAGGAAGGCCCTCAGCTGAAACCCATTGTTGAAAGAATTGGGTAATGGGCAGAGATAACGGTCACTGTAGCAAGTTCTGCACCAGGAATTTGTAATGAGGGAACAGATGCTGGACAATGGTCCTGGCTAGGCTACAGAGAAAGGCTGAATTATCAGAAAGTTTTAGCCATCCATGTGCATCTTCCTTCTCTGATGTAGGAAGGACAGTGAACTGCTTCGTATTGTGTCCTTATGAAGCAGCGAGACTGTTGCTGGTCTTGGGTGAGAGTTACTACTGGGAGCAACAGCCGTAAGCTGGGCTTTTTCAGGCCTGACAGCGCTGTGATTCCCACCCTGCAGCAGAGGAAACAACAAACATGAGGAGCCCTCAGCAGCTGACAAGAGGGGATGGACAAATCTGGCACATCGGGGTACATGCTTGGCACACACCAGCTAATCCGCATGAGGCCCTCCCGTTCACCACAGTGGAGTAGCTGCAGTGCAGCGGCCAGCAGCCCACAGCCTCGGTGTGGTGGCGTGACCCAGTTTGCAAAGCTGATTAGCAGCCCATTGTGGAGAACTTGGACAGCACTTCACACGCGCAAGGAGCAATGCCAGCACGGGATCAGCTCTTGCTAATCCCCTTGGACATGCTGGGTTAACCTTCTGTGTCATTGTACACCTGTTACAGCCCCTTTGACATGGGTTGCCTCATGTATTAGTCGTTGGCTGCGCCACACCAGTCCCTTTGGTGCAGAGTGAAGGCCTGCCCCATAGCTTGTGGTGGGGAAGATGCCACACTGTCTGATGCTTAAGGTCTTGCTTGTTCTCTCCTCTTCCAGCCATCGTACAAGGAGACTCTCTTGAAGAGATTTACAGCAGAATCAAACAGATCATTGAGGACCACTCTGGGCACTACATCTGGGTCCCATCCCCAGAAAAACTCTGAAGATGTCCCCCACCTGCTTTCCTGTGAGGAGAAGATCTCTAAAGTCCCACCTCACCCAAATCCTCTGCCCCAAGGGGGGAAGAAATGAAAACTATTCCTGCCCCCTTTTTTAGATCGTCGCAAAATTGAGTTTTCTAGTCCTGTTTCTTTTATTGGGATGAACTCATCTCATTCATCACGTGACTGTTTCCACCGTTCCTGCATGGACCTTCCCACTGCTCCATTAGAGACAGATGAGAGCCCATTCAAGGTTGTTTTTTATTGTCATTATTAATATTATTATTATTATTATTATCTAAACCAAGAATTGAGATGGGAGGAGTCAGCTAAGGACTAATGTA